TTTTTTATTCTTTATAAAATAATGATAAAATAATTGAAAAGATAAATATAAGATAAGACAAGAAGAGAAAGAAAATGAAAAGCTAAATCAATAGATACATTTATTACATTTTAATGTAAAAATAATATTTTCTTATTTTTTAACAAAGTTTCTTCTTCTCATAAAAAAAAAAAAGGTTTCTTCTATAATTAAAACAAAAATGAGAAATTTTAGTGCATCTTTAATTCTTAAAGGTAGTATTTTATATAATACATATAAATTATTCATTGTTGGATATATAGATTTTCTTTATACATAGGATAGCATTTTTTATTTTCCTTTTTTTTAATATAAATTTTATTAATTGTTAATTCAATAATCAAATAATATTTACCTCATACTTTTATTATTATTTTTTTCATCTTCCTCAATTATTTTTAATTCTTATTTAATCGAATTCATAATTATTAAAAATTGAAGTTAAAAAATATCAACTATTATTTTAATAAAAAAAAATCAAATCATATTCATTCTTAATACGTAAGATCTACATAAAGTATTATAAACAATATACATAAACAGGAATAATAATCCTTATTTTATACAATAATATACATATTTTGAACAAAGAAAAATACTTAACAATTCCTTTTTTTTTTTTTTACATAAATCTTTACGAACTCTTTCTTCTACAATTGCTTAACTTGCAAAATTTTATTTTATGGTTTTTTTCTTATCCCTTCTATCATTTCCAATTTCTTATCATTTTTTTCCATTCCTATTATATTCCTTAACTTGTATTGCAAACTATTTTGATATATTATTATAAGTACTCAAATCAAAGTTACAAAAAAGAAAGAAAGAAAGAAAGAAAAAGCGATTTGAATGAAATTTTACTACAATTGAATGCATATTCCCAAATACATGTGGCAATAATATTGGATGCATATACAATTTAGAAGAAATGTAAAGTAAAATTTATATTTAAAAGAACTAAAAAGTTGATAGTAATATAATATAAATAAAATAAGAAACATAAAATTTTCTTGCAAAAACAAAAAAAAAAAAATTTATATGACTTGATTTCTATCAAATTCATACATTTCTTGTTCAGTTTAGTGTATAAATCAACACTTTTATTGTTTTAATTGACTCTAATCTCATGAATGAAATTCTCTCAACCAAAAAAAAAAAAAAAAATCCATTAATAGTCTACAAAGGAAAGAATACATAAATTTTAAACAAATAAAGTTACAAAATTTGTTTAAAAGAACAATATTATATGTTTTTATAAAAAATTCATAAATTAATAGATAGGAATAGTAATCCTTATTTCATACAACAATATACATATATTGGACAAAGAGGAAAAAAGACACAAGAAAATAAAAACATAATATTATATTCAATTACAATATGAAACATAAAAAAAAAAAGAAAATATTTGGAACTCACCATATTAGTAAAAAGAAATTGTAGAGATGAAGAGGAGAATGTGATATATTGGTATAGAAAAAGTGACTAAGGATTAGATATGAGGAGGAGGATGGAAGGGTACAAAGAAAAATTATGAAAAAAAGATGTCATCCAAGATCATGGGAGGGTATATATTTATACATTTAAACATTGACTCTTCATTTTCTTCATTTAGGAGTTTTTAAATATTTAAAATTTTGGTTTTTTATATTAAGATAACATTACCTCATCTATTACATTTATTAATCAATTATTTTTATTATTTACAATTTTCAATTATTTGCCTATCTATCACTTTTATTATCCTTTATAATTTTCATTTATTTTTGTCGTTTATTTATAATTTATAATTTTCATATATTTTGCATATTTTGTTTCAACATTTTAAATTACTATGATATTATATTTTAAATAAATACATACTCTATTTAATGAAATTAGATATAGATTTTGCATATGTAATATCCCAAAATTTCTAGAGCATTAAAGTGAGTAAGGGACCTAATTGTGAAGAAATACTATTAATGAACTTAATGGTAAAAATTTTAAAAGTTCAAGGACTAAAAAGAAAAGAAATTAGGATAAGGATCAAGGCTGATATTTTTATCCTCAGCCACGTGTTTTGCTCTTATTCATCTTCATTTTCTTCTCCTCTGTCGACCGAAGCTCCCCTAAGCCACTGACTCATCCCCTTTGAGAAAATTGGTGACAAAGCTTGAAATTTATTCTTCTTTTCTTGTTAGATAACAAGATTTGGGGCTTAGAACTCTCTTTAAACCCAGAAATTTCAGATCTGCTTTGTTCTTCCCCTTTGTCTGTCCGCTGTTCTGCCGGGTGTGAATCCTTCGGGATTTTTGGTAAGAACCAGCTTCAAGTCCATCTCTTTAGCTTTAATTTGGCTTGGGTCACTCTAATCCCTTTGGTTTCTTGCAATTTTGTGGTAGTTTTCATGATTTCTTCTCCGGTCTCCGTCGGCCTCCATACCCGCCAGCTCCGGTTTTGGTTGCTGGAAAAATTCTGGTATGTTGATGGCATCTTTAAGTCCAAAAATGGTTAACTAGTTGCTGCCTTGTGTTGTTGAATTTATCAATTTGTTGCTGCCATGTGTGTCTGAATTTCTGCAGAAATATGGAAGAATTTGGCAGCATTTTAAACATGTTTTTT